TAGTAAGTACATAAGTACGATTTCAAAATTTGTTCAGAAAATATTTGAATTACGACGAATTAATTTTTTTGTCTCAAATACTTTTAACACCGATACATTTAATTCGTACAATTAATAGGATTGTCTATTATAAATCTTAGTAAAAGCAAAAAAAAATGTGCATCCGAAAAGATTCATTCTTTAAAATCGACAATTGAACATAACTTTTTGTTTTTTATTTTTTTTTTTTTTTTTTTTTTTTTTAATCATTTTTACCATTGTTTATAAATAAAAAATATGAAACGTAAACACGTAAATACGATCTTTAGAATTTACTCAGGAATGACGAATCCTTTTTCTTTTTTTATTCTTCTTATATATCATTAATACCCATAAATCTACTTCGTACAATTAAGAAGATTAATCCATATGTATTTATATATATATATATATATATATATATATATATATATATATATATATATAGATATGCTGTAAGAAAAATAAGAAAAAAGTTGAATTTAAAAAGATTCATTCATTAAAATTGACGATTGAATTTTATGTTCTATTCTTTTTCTTTGTTCTTCTTGAAATATCTTAATTATTCTATCATTGTCTCTCGATGTAAGTAGGTACATATACGTTCTTAAAATCTGTTCAGAAACGACGAATTTATATCATTTTTTCTTTTCTTTCTTTCTTCTTTTTTTTTTTTTTTTTTTCTTCAAATACTTTCAAATATATCGATACATTTAATATGTACAATTAACAGGACTAATGGCATTAATTTTATATTTAAAAATTTTCTAAAAAGATGAATTTAAAAGAGAATAAAAACTTTCATACTTCGAAGTCGACGATCGAATTTTATTTTGTCTATTTTGTTTTTTTTTTTTTTCTTTTATTCTTTATCTTTTTTTTTTTTTTTTTCTTTTTAATTTTTTTCTTACAAATATCATAATTAATTCTATCGTCGTTTGTGAAATCATAAATACGTATATACGATCTTAAAATTTGTTGTAGAAACTTCAGAGGATGATACCAATGCACCGATTGAGGAAGCAATACTACAATACTACGTTGAACGATGAAGAGAGACGTGAGTGAGAATGGTTAGGTAATACATAACAGAGAATATGTACATACCTAGGCGATATTCAAGATTTGATATCGAATTGGATCGGACGTTGATAGCGTATTCGGTTGTCATCGGGTAAATCGAATATATGCCAATGAACGAACGATTTTCTCTAACGAAATATCGAAAATATTTGTGTATTTGGATAAAAGGAATTTCTTTTGGGCTTTATACAGGAAATCATAATTCGTCGTTAGGGGAATATTTTTCCCTCATGAAAAAATACGATATTCTTATCTTTGCTGATGCTTTAAAACAAGAAAATTCACGATTATATGTATATATATATATATATTACAAATAAATAAATAAATAAATAAATAAATAAATAAATAAATATATATATATATATATACATATATATATAGAGAGAGTTTTTATCGTTACACTCGACGATTCGATAGAAAATCCAATTCGGATATTTATCGGGTAAAAATTGAATGAAAAAGGAGGAAGAAAAAAATAATATTGGACCGATCGTACATTCATAGAAAGATCCATGAGAGCGTGAAAGATCGATCGTTTCTATCTACTAAAATGATTAAAAAATGGCAGGAGAAACCTGAGTACCGTTAGAAATCCTTGCATTACTCGTAATGGAAGCCCTGGCTAATCTTCTTATTTTTAATAAAATAGAAAGATATATATATATATAATACATATAATTCTATGAATATATATATATATATATATATATATATATATATATACACATATATATACATATTCGTATAATTTTCCGTTTGACATATACATAATAAGATAATTGTTCCTTGTTCATTCTTTTTCTTTTTCTCTTTTAATTTTTAATAACCCTTTGCATCATGCATCATAAAATAAATAAGTATACGTTTCATAGACCAAAAGATCTTTCTGTTCAATATTGATTTTTTATATAAAAAATTTTCTTTCAACTCTATTTAATTTTTCTATTCGTTTTTAATTCACAGAAGCGATATCGTTTAACGGCCAATGTAATATCGATGTCATTTCTATGTATGTATGTAGAAAGACGAAATATCTGTGTTACATGTATGAGCACACGTTGAACAAATTTTTAGAAGAGTCTCGTTAGATAGAAAGATAAAGAAAAAAAAAAATGCCGAAAGAACTTTTCACGCGTTCCATTAATTCGAATGAAAAGTAATATCAAAAGAAAAAAAAAGAAAAAAAAAAAAAAAAGAAAAGAAAGAAAAAAAGAAAAAAGAATAAGAGAATGATCCTAACGATATCTAAACGTCATTAGTCTATATAATGTTAATCATAATCATAAATTTGGACAAGTTCATTAGTCAATCTATCAGCATCAAACAGCGCTAGCCAACGCTTTTCTAGAGCGAAGAAGAAGCATCGTGAATATTAATCGTCTACGTTTTCTTACATCCTTAACGACTACTACTCTTACTGACTACTATTCTTTTGCAAGCAACTATCGATCCATTTCACCCACGTAACAGAATAAATGTAATATATTGCGGAATTCATAAGACATAGTTATTGCCTCGTTTGTATACCGAATTCGGAACGTGTATTTAATTTACGTAATGTATTGTGAAACTCTGTACTGGACATGTTTCTTTGCTTATATATGTACATATATATATATATATATAAATATATATATATATAAATATATATATATATATATATATATATATATATATATATATATACATATACGTTCGCCTATTTTAGTAAAATCAATCGCGCGCGTGCGCGCACATGTACATTTTTGAATGAAATTTGTTTAAAAGAGAAATAGAAAAAAAAAAGATCCAAAGAATACAAAAAATGTAATTTATACACTCACACGTATACACACATACACACACATACACACATATATGCACATATATACATGTAGACATAGTTATTGATCATACGATAAATTCAATTGATAATATAAAAATTCTTGATCAAGCGATTGTCAGACAAGTTAAATCAAATGTTAATTTTGTTATGCTAATAGTGAATACCTTAATTGAACTATCTATTTAATTTATTTATCTATCGATTAACAGGGTAGAAATTTAATTAATTACTTCGTAACTGATATAATGTCCGGATAAAATGTACTTATACGTATATATATATATATATATACGTATATACATAAGTCGATCCAGATAATTTATCTTTTACAGGCGTATATTATCTATCCACGTATTATTCGACGAGTTACGAATAATCCTATACGAATTTGTTCGGAAAAGAAAATAAATTCATGGCGCGTAATGCGAGTATTCGGCAGTTACGAAACAGAAAGCGATCTGCTACGGCGAATACTTACATTCTTCCAAAACTGTTTTGTATTCACGTAGCTTTGACTATCATCAGCCTTATAAACGTGGGGCCGCATATAAAGACGAAAGACGGACTTCTGCTAAGGACAGTTATATTTTTTTTCGTCGACCATCTAACAGCTCATATAATACTGATAGTTATGAAGGTGATAATTATTATTTATCATTTCGGTATACTATTATATATCCGATGGGATTTAATTTGAAAAAGAAAAAAAAAAAAGAGAAAAAAAAACATACTCTTATCTCATACGTAATACTTATTCGATTCGATTTATCAAAAAAAAAAAAAAAAAAAAAAAAAAAAACAATAGTGTATCCATTTAACGGATAATTATTCAGAAGACGAAGAAGAAAAAGAAAAGAACATTTTTGTCTGAATTAAATTATCCGATTAATAAAAAAAAAATTGTCTACCTGAGGGATAATTATTAAGAAAGAAGAGGAAGAAATAAAAAGGAAAAAGAAAAAATAGAAAAAAAAAAGATTAAACAAAACTTCTGTCCAGGATAAATTTATATTATAGTGCGTCTATTATATTCGATTTGTCAGAAAGTGTCTAATCGATGGATGATCATTCAAAAAAAAACGAGGGAAAAGAAAAAGACAGATTCTCAATCAAGGATAATGCGATATGTGCGCTTGGCCAAATTCTTTAATATCGTATTAATAACGTTAAACGAATATGACAATAGGAGATCCATTTTTTGTTTTTTCTGTTTCGTTTGTTCTCTTCTTTAATGATTTTTTTTTTTCTCTTTTTTTTTTTTTGTCAAACTAAAATAAGATTGACGCTTATCATATTTGATTTTAGATAATCTTCTTGATCCTTTTCATCGGAGTGGCGGCTACAACAGAATTGGCTCGCTACATGCCCAGAGGATGGCGTCCAAGTGGGAGACACTTCAATCCCGGTCACAGTCAACCACACGCATACTATCGACCAGTCGGTCCACCAAATGTGATCACTTATCCACCAGCAGCATTCCCACCTTCGGATAGTACGATCCCAACAACAACAGCTAGTACATCGTCAACGATACCGAGTACTACTACTCCTACTACTTCTACTATTACCGTTACTACAACCGAGAGAAATATAGAACCAACGACTCAACCAAATCTATCTGATGAAAGTTTCGACACGAATCCGGCCCTTGCCATCGCCAATTCCTTCGCCTTCAACAGACCTGTCTACGTTTATAATACCTTCCCGTTCCTCCCAGGACACGTTTTAGTCAAGTAACCTGACCAGGACCGAAGAATATTCAGGAGAACTTATGATATAATCCCGACCCACCTCTCTTCTTCACCGTATTCGTCCGTCTACGTACGTATGTATATATATGTATGTGTGTATTTATATATGTATATCTATGTATACGTATATACGTTACGACATTAATACTGTATTATATGTACCACCGATATATTCTCTCGACTTTGTCTATGTAATATTTGTTTTAGTAAATACATGTGTACATCATCAACACACTCGGTCACAAATGTTTGGAAACTTCATATTTGTAATTCAATATGTAGAATCTATTGTATTACATTTAACTGTTATCATCGATACATTTAATACTTTTATATTATATTTCATTTATTATACATAAGTTAATTATTTTTATGTCTTCTTTTTTTTTCTTTTTTGTTTTTTTTTTTTCTTTTTTTTTTTTTGTTTTTTTTTTTTTTTTTTTTTTTTTTTTTTTTATAACACGCACACACTTCTTTTTAACACGTTTACGCGTATGCGCGCGCCCGTGTCCGTGTATATGTATGTGTACAAAGGATTGATATTACAGATCAATTCTTACACGAACGATGAATAAAACTGTTATCGTGATAGAATCAAAGTTCGAGGTGCTAAATACGTCATAAAAATATGACGCCCTCCCCGGGAGGGCTACACTCTCATCGATATTCCTACATTTTTACAATTCTCGTACGAGTGAGGTACGTCCAACTTCTACTGCATCTGACACTTTGAACGATCCATTTGAGAAGTATGTGCTTATATCCAATAACTTCTAGAGGCATTTCTCCTCATTGATTCGCGCCTGATAGCACAGCCAATGGTGCGTATGGGACATTAGTAAGTATAATTCACATCGTACCGATATGAATCTTTTTCTTCTTCGTGCAACTATAAATGTCAATAATATTCCTAAATTCTATAGTTCAGTAAATCATTGATATTAAAATTTGTCTTTGACGATTAAATTCAATCTCTACAATCATTTCACATTATTTTCACAACTCTCTCTCTCTCTCTCTCTCTCTCTCTCCTTTTTCATTCTTTTTTTTCTTAAAAAAAAAAAAAAAAAATAATATATACATATATATATATATATAAAAAAAAATAAAAAAGAAGAGGAAGAAAAATTATATAATGTCGTTACAATTTCGTAAAAAGTGCTATGTCGGACAACGGCCATATTTTACATATTGCACGACCACGAAGTAATCCTTGTGGTACTGGCCCGTAGATTCGTGAATCCGTAGAATTACCGCTATTATCTCCTTCTAGCCAAACGTGTCCAATTGGTACCTAAAACGAGACAGCAGTATCTATATTTAGATATCATTTCAAGATGATACTTTCTCCTCAACATTTTTTTGTTTATTTATTTATTTTCTTTTTTTTTTTTCCTTTAATTTTTGCCATTTTCTTTTTCTCCATTTTTTACTTTTCTTTTCTTTTTTTTGCTCTTTTTTTTTTTCTTCAATACGAAAATTACATCACCATCCACGTATGCATTACAATTATAATTCGTGCAAAAAGGACGAATTCAATGGAGAATACGAATTCCTGACTGGCTAGGAATAAAATGAACGTACTGAGAAACAGTTGCTAATTTATAGTGTTACTATTTGCAGCTAAGTAGCCACTAGAGTTAGTAAGAGGAGAATATAGACAATGAGCATTTCTCTAAGATGGAACGCGGTAGTTGGACGATACGGGAGAGAGCAAATAAAAATTATCATTTTTTGTTTTTTTCCCTTTTTTCTCGTATTTTCTCTTCAATCGGAATATCGTTGAAATTCTTCATAGTGAAAAGATAATTAAATTCTTAATTAATTCGATCGAATTGTTTTTTCGAGTGAAAAAATGATATTTTTTATTTATTAAAAAAAAAAAAAGAAAAAAAAAAGGAGAGATAAGGAATAGGAAAAAAAAAGGAAAATTATATTCGTCCGGTATTTCTATAATGATGGATGATAATAAAGTTAAAAGAAAAAATTAATTTTGTAAAATTAACTTCAAATTGTATTAAATATACATATGTATTTTATAAAGCATTAGATTTGTCCATTCTGCGAAGCATTATATACTCACAATATGAGTGGTAAATCCATGTCTTATACTGTCTCCAGGTAAACCTACAAGTCTCTTACAAATATGTTGTCTAGGATTGGAAGGACATATGGAAATGATTATATCACCTTTCTTATACCATCTTAATCTTGTACTTATATGCTCTGTAATTAATATATCTTTGCTATGTATCGTTGGCTCCATAGATGGACCTGAACACTGGAAAATAATAACATGGAAATAATGTGAAACTAAATATTGCAATTGGGATACAAGACACATTGTATTGAACGATATCAATAGAAATCATTAGATATTAATTACATGAAAGATATAATTAAATTTTTATACGCATTATGATTAACATTGATGTATTCTATTTAAATGTATACGTCTATTATATCTAACAGTATTAATCATCTATAAAAATTATATTAACAATCATACAATTGTGTAATCTTTAAATATAAATTCAGTATGAATATAAAATAACCTTCAAATTGTCATACAACATACATCACACACCCGCATACAATAACACTTGTATGATACATGAAATTTATTAATTATTTTTATTCTACTTACCACTACAAACTCTCCGATATACTCAAACGCACAGTGTGTGATGCATGCATACTGTAATGTAACTCCTAACACACTTAAAACTTTGTATATGTGTTTACGGAACATAATAACTAATGGGTAGAGGTTATGTTTTTATAGAAATATTTCCTAATAAAAATGCTACATCGCATTAAATATTATGCTTGTCTAAATACACGAGATATATTTATATATATATCTATATGTATATATATATTTAACATTTTTGTTAAATAAATAAGATATAAGAATCACGTGTAAACGCGTTTTAACATCATCTTAAAGTAAGAAACATCGTGTGGTATGAAGCACGAGTAATTTGAATTTAATTGCGATCGTAGCGCCATCATCGAAGACTAAAATGTATTAACAGCGACTCCTAGCGATGACATTCTATAAACATTTTATCCTTTAATTTACATTTGCAAACGTAGAGTACGATCGATAAGTAATATACGCTTAATTATTATTTTTCCTAAGATAGAATATTTAATTAAAAGATACGACGTAAACGTCGTAAAGAATACGTCGCTCATTATTTCGAAACGATAGAAAATAAAAATTTTTAAATATTATTTAAAACGAAACAATGAAAATATTTTTTTCGATATATGTATCATACACGCGGCGGCGGCGGCAGCGGACATACGTGCGCACTTATTTTTTTGTACATTCCTTTACAAAGAGACTCTTAAGTATCTAGTACATTAAAAATTCTATGTGATAAAGGGCTTAATTAGAATGTAATTGGTGCAATGATACAAAATAAATAAATAAATAAATAAATAAAAAGAACAAACAATTAATAAATAAAACTATGCAATAATGAACTTGACGAGGACACACGTGCTCCTCCGCATACATATATACTTCTTATTAGAAACGATCATATGAATTCATCAATATATATATATATATAATTGCTTTTATAAATTTCTTCGTCAATTAATAGTTTTTTCTTCTTTTTTTTTTTTTCTTTTTTTCTTTCTATCTTTTCTTTTTTATCTTTTCTAACAGCAGGGAGCATGTGTTCGGTTTTGAAGAGACACTAGAGAGATGGTAGACATACATGTTACATCTTTATATTACTCGAATTAAAATACAAGATGTTGTGGTGTGCATAATCTTAATTTTAAAACGTCGCCTTATACAACTCTTCACGGTGATATAAAATAGAAGCATGAGAAGTTTGATCTTTCATTTAAAAGGCTGTTAAGTTGTCTACAATTGACAACGCTTTCGCGATGATTACCGATGACAATAATGATGCTTTAAAGGGATGATTCTAGGTGATAGTGAAAGCTAAACAAGTGGGACAGTAATTCGTACCATTAACATAAATAATAATAATAATAATAATAATAATAATAATAATAATAATAATAATAATAATAATAACAATATATCAATGATAATGAAGACGACAATGATGATAATGCTAATAACAACAACAATAATAATAATAATAATAATAATAATAATAATAATAATAATAGTAGTAATAGTAGTACTGGTAATAATAATGATAATAATAATTATAATAATTATTATTATTATAATAATAATAAGGGATTTAGTATTGTTTTTGCTGTAGCTTTTTCGACATATTGCACATTAATTATTTAGTCGAAAAATTGGTACATACAGATGGTATCGCGAGCGTTGAATCTTCTTTAACAATTTCCGATGATCTTTAGCCACTTAAGAAAGTCTTTTCACGCTAATATTAAATTTATTTATATAATATATATTTCGTCTCTTTCTCTCTCTCTCTCTCTCTCTCTCTCTCTCTCTCTCTCTCTGTCTGTCTTTCTTTCTTTCTTTCTCTCTTTCTCTCTCTCTTTCTCTCTTTCTACTGTGTATGCGTGATGTTGTATATACATATATATACGCTATGCGTATACATACGAGCCACATATGTGACATACAATGTTTAAATCCTCCATCTGTACTGTAGCCAATATTATATGTTTTAAACGATTCTCAACGAGATGAATTAATTAAAAACAAACGTAAATAAATAAATAAATAAATAAATAAATAGATAAACAAATAAATAAATAAATAAATAAATGTATGAGGATATTCGTATAAACAAACGATTCACTCATATTTTGCATTCTAATTAATTTCATTAATTTGTCAATAAAATTTTTGTCATTGTTATTATTATCGTTCTTAATCCAACCCACAATAATTCGAAGTGATCTTTTTTATTTATAGAACGGATAAAGTCAAATTTTAATAATAATAATAATAATAATAATAATAATAATAATAATAATAATAATAATAATAATAATAATAATAGTGATAAGGATAATAATAATAATAATAATAATAATAGCTATAAGATATCGATAACTTCGTCGTAATAACGATTAATTAATCCGTCTCTTAGCCTAAACTTTACAATGCGACTTATTTATTAAGTCGGCTAATAATTAAATATCCGACGCAATTGTTCGCGTAATTATCGTTGCAACAAATCGATCAACGTAAATATTACATATCGTTTACATTTATAACAAGCACTTTATACAGAATTATACGATATTATGATAAATACAAAGAGCGATATTACGATATTACGGGTGATGCTCGTTCGCCGATCGATTATTTTATTACCATTATTTAAATTAGGCGCTTAATGAAACCCACCAAGACGATCGGTGGTGCACGAAGAAAACGGTGGCGGTAGGGAGAGGGGAGGGAGTTTTAGGGGAAAGTTGACAGAACGTATATACATACATTATATAGTATATAACGATTCTCTATAGACGAACGTCCATTAATTTATATAAAAAGATTTTTATCAAAATTTTCATTCTTTCTTCGCGATCGATACTTCTCTTGTTTCTTTCCTTTTTTTTTCTTTTTTCTTTTTTTTTTGTTTTTTTCTTTCTTCCTTTCTCTCCCTTTTCGCAATTCGCAATTTCGTCTTACGTATTATTATTAATAAGATAAAGAGAAAAACAAAGAGAAAAGAAAGAAAAACAGAAGAAAGAAAAAAAGAAATGAGAACGTCTAACAGGACCATGAGAAACAATTAAAACGCCTACGTCATTTTGTGTAAATATTACCGCCATTACCCTCTCTCTCTCTCTCTCGCTCTTTCCTCCCTCTCACCCCCTCCCCGTCCTTCTAAAGCAAGAGGAATTAATTGATTTCAAAGGAAGAGAAAAGAAAAAAAAAATTCAAAGGAAAAATATTAATAATAACGATTACATAGAAAGGTGGGAGAAACGCGTGTGCAATCGTCTTATCAAGATTATCAACTTTCTCTTTCTCTCTTTCTCTCTTTCTCTCTCTATATCTCTCTCTCTCTCTCTCTTTCTTTTATGTTTATATCGGCTTTTTTATAAGCTGTGCTTGTTGAAACATCGCAATTGCTGTTGCTTTTTTTATTTTTTCTTTTCTTTTTCTTTTTTTTCTTTTTTTCTTTTTTTCTTTTCTTTTCTTTTTTTTTCTTTTTTCTCTCTTATTTTCGAAGAAACATTTCGATAATAATTCATCGACGACGCGAGGCTACAATACAGACGTGCGCGCGCACACACGCATCACCACACACAAGCATACGAACGCACACGCACGCACGCACGCACGCACACACATGAGCACTCTCAAATTATCGTATTCCGTCTTTCTTTCTCTTTATTTCTCTCTCTCTCTCTCTCTCTCTCTATCTCTCCCTCTCTTTCTCTTTCTCATATTATATTATATTTTGTTTTTGTTTTATTTTATTTTCTTCCTTTTTCTCTCTCGCACCCATATCGATATTTTTTTTCTCCCATTTCTTTCTTTCTCCCTATTCTTCCCTCTTATTCTCGTACTTCCAGTTAATAATAAGTTTTCCTTTTCTATTTTTCCTCAACGTTATCGTTAAAGAAAAATTCTCTACCTTATTATTTTATTTTCTTCTTGTTTTACTTTTCTTTTCTTTTCTTTTTTTTTTTTATTATTATTATTATTCCTCCATTTCTCTCTTTTTTTACTTCTTCTTCTTCTTCTTCTTCTTCTTCTTCTTCTTCTTCTTCTTTACACACTTCTCACTTCTTTTACTTTCGATCTTTCGTCCTACATTATGTATTACGACGAGGGTAATGAACGATATCAAGTACAACACATACATATATGTACATATATATGTATATACCTACGTATGTAGGTTACGCCATGTGTATATGTATATGTATATGTATATGTACGTGTGCGCGTGTGCGCGCGTGTGTGTGTGTGTGTGTGTGTGTCTGTGTCTGTATCTGTATCTGTGTTTATCGTCGTCGTCGATACAAAATCAATTAAATTAAATTAAATCATAATAATAATTAATAATTAATAATTAATAATTAATACATAAATATAAATATGTATGTGGTCTTAAAAAATGCGACAACATTTAAGCAAAGCGAAAATACCAACGGTGTCGAATAATTCGTGGAAATGATGTTATTCAACGATTACAAGCCAAAAGCTCGGGTGAAAGAATTAGGATGACTTAGCCGCTATCGATCCGATCTCGAACAGAACGTGACAAAAAAAAAAAAGAAGAAAAAAAAAAGAAAGAAAAAAAAAGATAAGAAAGGAAGTAATTAAATAATACCAAACGAGTAGATTGGACATTTTTATCGATCGATTTTTTATCGTGGGGTGTGTTTTTTTCATTCTTTTTTTTCTTTTTTTCTTTTTTGGCTACGTCATCCTATTACACAATTACGTTTTCTCATCTAATAATATACATTCTCTCTCTCTCTCTCTCTCTCTCTCTCTATCTCTCTCTCTCTCTTTCTTTTTTTCTCGTCCTAGTTCTTAAAGATATACAAAACAAATTTATTGTTTACAACGAAATCGTTCGTTACACAGGTTCGAAGTATCGATTATTAATATTGCACTCTCGCTATAGGAAATGTGTCGAAAAAAGAAAAGAAGAAAAAAAAATTAAGAATATTAATAATACTGCTTAGAAGTATACGAGAGGGGAGGATTTTTTCCGAAAAAAGAGAAAGAAGAAAAAAATCGATCAGATTTTTAAATGGCAATTTTGCGAATTAAATAAAAGATCTTGTGAAATATTTATATATATATATATATATATATATATATATATATATATATCTTGAAAAACAATAGTTATAAATAATAAAATAATCTATATAACAAAATTTGTTCCAATTTAAATTACAACCCCCTTCCCTTCCCCCGGCCCTCACTCCCAACCCCCCCCCGTCTATTCTGTTCTTTGTACCTTTTATCTTCTTTCTATTTATCGACTGGTTTCTATTCTATTTCTAAAAAAAAAAAAAAAAAAAAAAAAAGAGAAAAAAAACAAAAAACAAAAATTAAATAACAAATAATATTTAACGTTTACATATTACTGTTTCGAGATAATACGTGTGCATGCATTGTTAAAATATTTCATATGTTTAACCCTTTATACTCCAAGTGTTCCTCTGTAAAATATATATATATATATGTATATATTATATATATGATATATATATATATATATATATATATATCATATCATCATATATATATATCATATCATATTATCTAGCTAATAAATTGTATATTAATAGGAAAAAATTAATAGAAAAAATTCTACGCTCGTTGAATAAGTTTCAATAGTATTGCATCTTTCCTTTCCTTTTTTTTTCTTGTTTCTTTTTGCTTTGTTCTTTTTTTTTCTCATACACTATAACTTTATTACTCAAATGTATTTACTCGAAACGATATGATATATGAGTATATATATATATATATAAATAAATGAATGTCATTATTTGCTACTGTAAAACAATAATTTCAATTTGTAACTAATGAACTCCGAGTAAAAAGGGTTTCGCCGAGAAAACTCATTGCAATAGACAGAAACGCTGTATTTCCATATCGGTCATAGATCATTTTTATTATCATCATCTTTGACACGGTAGGTCCGGATAAGTAAAAGATTTATACTCTTTATACTCCTTGTTTTTCTTTTTTCTGTTTTTGTTTTTTTTTTTTTTTTTTTTTTTTTCTTTTATCTTCTTATTACTTTCCCTAGAAGAAAGTCGCGAAGCGCTTAGGGCAATGTTATCGCTTATAATCGTTCGAATGCGGTCTTTATATAATAATAATAATAATAATAATAATAATAATAATAATAATAATAATAATAATAATAATAATAATACAAATGTTCAAAATGACATTAATTCACAATTTCATTGTCCATTTTTTGTTGTTGTTTCTTTTTTTTTTTTTTTTTTTTTTTTTTTTTAATCGTAGAATATCACTCTATCCTCCGCTCACATGAAAGAGATATATCATCTTTTTTTTTTTATACTTATAATCGTAAATAACATATTTTACATAATCGCTTTCCTCGAGTTTTTTCTTTTTTTCTTTTTTCTTTTTTTTGTTCTTTTTTTTTTTTTTGTTTTGTTTTTGTCCTTTACCGAGTCCTTAACGATTGCGTTTAGACATACAACAAGAACGAAAGCTTCGAATAAGAGAAGAGAATATTTAAGTACTATTACAGGAGCCTCTTGCAGTCTTAACACGATCTCTCCGAGATATTAAGAGAGATTTTAAATTTCAATTTTAATTATCATGTCATTCAACACCGATCATCATCTCTCCCCTTTCTCTCTCTCTCTCTCACTCTCTCTCTCTCTCTCTCTATTTATCTATCTCTCTCTATCTCTCGATCTCTGTTTTATTTTTCCTTCATCGATTTTTTTTATTTTTATTTTTTTTTGCTTCCTCCACCTTCTCTCCCTTTCCTTCCCTTGCAACATTGTTTCTCTCTCTCTCTCTCTCTCTCTCTCTCTCTCTCTCTCTCTCTCTCTCTCTCTCTCTCTCTCTCTGTCTCTTATTTGTTTTCATTTCGTTTTTTTTCTTTCTTTTTTTTTCCTTTTTTTTCTTTTTTTTTTTTTTTTTTTTGCTTTTTTTTTACACTTGTGCACCATTTCGAACGAGGAGGCATTTTAAATGGAGACTACAGCACATAGAAATGTCTGATAAGGATGAAAGCTGAGAAAACGCGTGAGCTGCATAACGCACACGTCTATATATAATGGAAAATAATTTCATTTTCGTTATAATCTCTTAAAGATTATTTCACCTCCTTCATATATAACAAATAAAGGACACCTCGTAACGATATACATATACATACTTTAATAGTAATTCAATCATTTGTTTACATACTCATCGATGTAGTTCTTCTTTGGTAATGTGTATGTGTGTACGTGTATGTGTGTACGTGTATGTGTATGTGTGTATGTATCTATTTTGTATGTACGTATTTTCGTATGTCTGATCGGCAAATAAATAATTATTTTAAAAATGAGATAGAAGAGCTCTCTCTCTCTCTCTTTCTCTTTCTCACCCTCTCGTCATCTCTCCTCACCACCATCCCTATACCCTTCCAACCCTTCCGGCGTTCTTTCGAACGCTGTTTTCTTCTTGTTCTACTTGTTCTTCTTCTTTCTTTTTTCTTCTTTTCTTTTTTTTTTTTTCTTTTTTTAATTCATTCATTTCCTTTTCTCTCCAAACGCACTTCACAATATTAGGCATAAACGCACATTATTCAACACGCAAATCACCAAATTTATTTGGACGCACGTTTTTAAAAGAGAGATAGATAGATAAATAAATAGATAGATAGAGAGAGAGAGAGAGAGAGAGAGAGAGAAAAGAAAGAGAGAGAAAGAGAGAGAAAGAGAATTAACGAAACCCTTTTTTCTTCCATAAGATATGGAAAGGAGAAAGGAAGAGAAAGAAAAAAAGAAAAAAAGAAAAAAAAAAAAGAAAACGAAAGAAAGAAAAAAAAAAGATAGAAAGAAAGAAAGAAAGAAGAAAAAAAAGAATAGAACAATACACACAGATCGATATATGATATTCCCTGCGAACTTTCCTTGTTGTGTTGTCTCATCGGCGACATTTCGCAAGAAATCGAAACGTACCGAGAAACGCGAAACGCTTAAACGCGAAAGTGTTCCCGGCTAAAACGCTAAAAGGTACAATGATGTTTTTTTTCTTTTTTGTTTTTTTTTTTTTTTTTTCTTTTTTCTTCTTTATTTCAGCATGTTGCTATTCATAGAAGGAGAATATATTTCGCTTTTCTTTCTTTCTGTTTTTTTTTTTTTTTTTTCAATCCTGCACGTAGGCGAAGTAAGCAGGGCGTTATTTTTTTTTTTTGCTTCTGTATGGTTTACGCGTTTGTTTAGTTTCTTCTTTCTTTTCTTTTCTTCCTCTTTTTTTTTTTAAATCCTCTTTTTGTTTTTCATTCGGTATATTAGCACTTATCTCGTGTATACGCAATTACGTGTGTATCTTTGTACGTGTGTTTTATGTACCTTTGTGTGCGTATGTATGCCTCTGTGTGTGTGTGTGTGTGTGTGGATGCGCGTATGTATGTTGTGTGTGTGTGTGTGTGTATGTGTATGATAAAATAACGTATGTATCCTTAAACGAGATTCCGAGATATCAAGATCATCGGTTTAGCGAATAACCACGTCGGCGACGTTCTCTTGTCGCGACGATCACTCGATGACTACTGAAAATCGAAAACTATAGAAGTCCTGGGCCGAAAATGTCGCTTTTGGCCAACGGAATATTCTCTTGGAGGCTCTTGCAACGGCGCCGGTTACCTCCAGCAAGGCATCGATCACTCACTTGGTTTGATTCGATTGTTGTTCCGACGCCGAAGTAACACCGGTTGGTGAAACATTGTTTAAGGATCTAGTAACCGGACCTTTGCGTGCCAATTTTGATCTAAAACAAATGATTTCGACAAGAAAGTTATCATTTAAATAATCATTAATTATATTTCATCAGACGCGTACCTTATCTGACCGGCTAGAAGTGGATTGATAGCGTACAACCAATCGTATACTTCCTTGTCACCTAAAGTCTGAAGAAGATAACCACGGTGTTTTGTCACGACACTATAAGAAATAATAATAATAATATACACATATGCGTCTATTAAATTAAATATCTTAATATTTAATATCATTTGAAAATAATGAATGAATGAATCAATGGACAGATGGATACATGAATGAATGAATGGATGGATACAAGAATGGACAAATGGATGCATGAATGAATGAATGAATGAATGGATGGATCCATGAATGGGCAGATGGATGCATGAATGAATGAATGAATGGATCCATGAATGGACAGATGAATGCATGAGTGAATGAATGGACAGATGGATACACGAATGAACGAATGAATGGATGCATGAATGGACAAATGGATACATGAATGAGCGAATGAATAGATGCATGAATGGACAGATGGATGCATGAATAAATGAATGAATGGATGGGGATACATGAATGGACAAATGGATACATGAACGAATGAATGAATGAATGGATGGATGCATGAATGAATGAATGGACAGATGGACACATGAATGGATGGGTGCATGAATGAATGAATAAATTAATTAATTAATGGGCAGGTGGATGCATGGATGAATGAATGAATAGACAGATGGATGAACGAATGAATTAATATTTTGCTAACCTGAATGTGTTTGGTACTTTCACCATAGCTAATTGATCCTCGGAGTATTCTACTTGAGCAGTTGCTAAATTAATCAGAGCTCTTTCTACGGGATCTTTTTCCTCTCGGAAGATCAAAACGTACGGTCGTCGTACTGCCTGAATAGAAAAGAAAGAAAAAAAAAAAAAGAAAATCAAACGTCGCAAGAAGAACATTTTCAAATTTTAAACGATATAATTTATATTTCCTTTTTGAAAACTTACAACCCAACGTTTCTTCCATCCATTAGTCTTGTGTTCTAAAACATTCAAATATCCTTTCCTGGCAATGACAGGACTGATACGTATCTCCTCGACTTCTGGTACATACAACACTAGATTCTCCTTCGAAGGTGAAGACGATCCCATCGGAGCAGGTGCTGTACATGATTGACCAATTGTCTCGCTAGCTAATATGCTTTCTTGAAGCTCTTGCAATTTGGCTCTTTCGGGTGAACTTAGTCTGCAAAAAAGAGAGAGAAAAAAAAAAAGTGTTAAATGCCGCGTTAAAATTTTATAAACAAATGAGAGATAAAAATTTGTATTAGATGCGTTTGTAAACTGACTCTTGTGACGACGAGGACAAAACCGATGATAGCATGGATGCCGACATATCACCTATCGTATCTTCTCCAGGTGAAACGTCGGACAATAAAATCGGTTCTTTGCTTGGAATTCTACCTTGGATAAGTTTAATATATTTAGTTGCCAATTCTCTCTCCCTGTCAGTCATTTCCCAAGGTTCATAAACGTCTTTGCTGGTTGAACGTTTGAGTTTGACTGGGCTAGCATGTGATTCGTTTGTAGCTTTGGCTACCATATTACAAACCTCCTATAATACGATATTACAATGACCAATGTGTTGTTCATAATGTTTCTCAAATGAAATAAAATGATTCATAATATTTACCTTTTCGCTTTTTGTGAAATCATGTAATGGTTTATTACACATAGGCATTTTATCGATGCCAAGTTTCTCTCTCAAAAGTAAAGTATGTCTGACCCTTTCAACCTCTTCCAATCTCGTTAATTTCTCAAGTTCCCATTGATGATCGAAAATCAAACTATCTCCTCGCGGTCTCCAACCATGAAGATTTTCTTCACCCCTGACGTACGTAGAACTCGTGTCTAATACACGACGTTGTCGCCTTTGTACGCCTAATGTAATAAATGAAAAGGAAAGAAGTTCGATGCGTATAACGTAAAAGAATTTAAATATAAATAAAACATTATAATGTCTTCACTGATTAATGTTTGCACGAAGCCTTCGCGTTCGAATATATTAGAAGAAGTTGATGTACGCCGATAGAAGAGAACCAACACCGATTGAAAGACTCGTTCTCGTCTTAATGTATTTCAAAATTGTCAAATATATTTTATAATTATTAAGATAAATATCAATTATCGTCTCAAAAAATAATAATTTCTTTTCGTCTGCTGATAACGATCAGTGCAAACGTTTTATAATATTCGCTGTAACTTAGGATACATAGTAGCAAGCTGCTACACTAAGGGATACACAGGACAAACCTGGGCTACCTGCTTCCGATGAACGTCGCAGCACCAATTCATAGACGCCGCTAAGTCGATTTGCTTCTTGATTTCGATAACTTCCACTGAACAGATGTTTTAATGATCTTGGCCCGACCCTGGCATCTCTGCCATAAATAATCATGCTCAAGTCTTTTGTAATAATTGCTGGTCTACCACAATTCTCCAACTAAAATGAAAATCAAATCAAGTCAAGTTCAAAGTCAAAAGAAATTTAACGTTTAAAAAAAAAAAAAAAAAAAAATTGCTCGCTTTAATAGATAAATCATTTTATTTTATTTTATTTCATTTATTTATTATTATTATTATTATTATTTTTTTTTTTTTTTTTTTTTTTATTTTTTTTTGTAAAGTTTCATTTTAAACGCGAAACAAACCTCAAGGTATGCGGAGATAGTCATGAATATTTGTTCACCGTAAGACGTGACCCTGTTAAGCAAGGCCGAATTGTGCAAAGAACTGTCCCAGGCTGCCTCGAATCTGAACATACATCTGTCGTCACCTGGAACTTCAAGATATTCACCTGGGAATAATCCCAATGAAAGTACGGAGGAGTCGTTATCCTCTTCTTCCGGTTCTGGTGTATTCCTAATACGACCTACAACGAGTTCTCTTACGTCTTTCCATCTTAATTCAGAAGCAGGCTCGTGTACAATCGTTATACGAATACGACGTTGAATCCCTTGATGAAGTAGGAATAATCCACGGCAAGGTAAATCATCGCTATGATCAACAACCGATGGAACATATTCACCGTTTGGTGCTAATTCGCAAATTTCAAACCATACGAGTACATCATATTTTGCATGAACGTGTGAAGTACTTGGTGATGGTAAAACGCTACCAAACTTTGGTGAACGTACAGGTTGACTAATTGGTATTGAAGGTGGTAACATCCTTTTTGGTGGTTGTCGTACGCTATTAAAATGAATAGAAATAAAGGCTTAGACATTTTGGCACAATCGAATAACTAGAATAAAAGATAATATTAATATTGTGTGTGTGCTTGCTTGTATACATATATCGTTTATACTAACTATTCTAGTTTAGCATCCTTGTGCAACGGATGTTGCTGATAATGTCCAAAGATCTCAAATACAATCGGTTGTGATTTAAGATATTCCAAGAAAGATTTCGTGACCGTCACTGTAATCTGTATGATATATTATATTAGAAGACATTAGAAACGTTTGGATTATTTGATTAAATAAAAAATTTTTCCTTCGATCATTTATATGAATTTATCATTTACATTTTGTACATGATAAAATCCAGGTGGATTTCCTTTGGTTGTATTCTTTGCCGGTTCCGTTGAAAATGCTTCGTCATGTCGGTGTAAGAAACTTAAATGTAATGATACAATAAGATTTTATTAATTTGTTGAAATTAAATAGAACTTTATTAATTATTTGTTTTTTGATATTAAATATATCCTACGTTATTATTTACGTACTTGAATTGACAGAAAATATCGGCATACTCGGTCGAAATACCCATTGCTTGTAACACCGTAACTCTGAATGTAAATTCAGCGCCGAGTTGTAAATGATCCGGTA